TACTACTACTACTACTACTACTACTACTACTATTTCCTACTGTCCTATTAGAAGCTCTATTTGTTTAGTTAACCCTCTGTTAATTACACTATTATTCCTTAGTTAGAACCCTATTGAATAACTTTTACACCATTGCTATGCACATAAATATTTGTTTATTTTATTAGAAGAAAATCACTAAAGGAGTTTTGTTATTGGACCTCATTGTATTATCAAGCTACACAAATATTATTGAATTGTGCATTGTTTTTCTTTCCTTTTGTTTGATACTATTGGTTGGTATAAATAACTCTTTGTAGTCATAATAAAAATATATATATTATTTCCACAATTTATAAATGTTTTGAGGCTTATCACTGTTATAAACAATGTTTATTGAAGATCCTCACATATTTGCAGCAAATTGCTGAGTTTCCCTTGGAAGTTTATCACAGATCTTGGAAGAATTGTGAAGATATTGGGAGGAATGTTGAAGACCACAAAAGATATTGGCAAGACTTATAAAGATTCTCAAAGATCTTGGCAGGATTATTAGATCTTAACAAGAATTTTGACAACAATCCTCAAAGATCTGAGAAAGAACATTGAAGATATTTCAAATTCTTAACAAGATCTACCAAGATCCTGAAGGATCTTCTATTTTCTTATCAAGATCTTCAAGGATCTCTTATTTTCTTGCCAAATCTTTTTTAAGGATCTTTGAAATTCTTGACAAGATCTTTTGAAGATCCTTGAAGATCTGGGCAAGAACCTCAAAGATCTTGACTGGAAAATGAAAAATCTTTGAAGATCTTGTCAAGAAAATGTAAGATCCTTAAAGATCTTGGCAAGAAAATGCAAGATCCTTAAAGATCTTGGCAAGAAAATACAAGATCTAGGCAAGAACATGCAAGATTCTTTGAGGATCTTGGCAAGAAAATGCAAAATCCTTGAGGATCCTGGCAAGAAAATGCAAGATCCTTGAGGATATTGGCAAGAAAATAAAAGATCCTTGAGGATCTAGGCAAAAAAATGCAAGATCCTTGAGGATATTGGCAAGAAAATAAAAGACCCTTGAGGATCTTGGCAAGAAAATGCAAGATCCTTGAGGATCTTGGCAAGAAAATAAAAAATCCTTGAGGATCTTGGCAAGAAAATGGAAGATTTCCTCAAAGATTTCTCAAACATCTTCATGAAGATCCTTAGGAGGATACTCAAAGGTCCTCATGAAGACCTTTAAAGATCTTTAAAGATCCTTAAAGATCCTCCAAAGATTTTCACCAGGGCCTCCAAATCAAAATGACATTGGCATACACTTTTGCTTTATTTCTTTGGTGAATTTCCCCCTATACTTCTCCACCTATTTACTTGCATTCTTAATGCAATCTTTCTGTTAAATAGTGATGCATGCATATCAATTTGCATGTTTGACCTAGCTTAAAATACACATAGTTATACAATTGTAACAGTCACTTTTCAATGCACATGGAGTTTACAAGTCAAAAGTTCAAGGATAGAACAATTTTCAGCTTTGGTTTTGCTTTCAATTGTTGTTGAAAAAAAAAATTCAAGCCATTTATTAACCAAATGCAAATTACAAAACTGTAGAGCTAATGAAAGCTTTAGCCACTAGGATTTTCTTATGCCGTAAGGAGTTTCCATATACTTTCTTTTGGTCCCAATCGGCTATTTGTGATATTTCCCCCTGGTTTTGATTGGCTGTTGAGATCACTTTTGTTTTGGATATTTGCAACACTCAATCTGAAAGTCAGAACTATATTACATGTACATGTCTCAGATATTTCACTCATAAGATGTTACCTTTTTCCTTTTATCCCGCTGCACATCTTTAAAATTCCTGACACAGTTTTCCAATTCTTCAATCAGCTGTTGGGATAGAGCTACATGCAGTTTCCCAATGTTCTCTGTTTCTGTGGCACAAAAAGAAATTGGGCTTTAAGATTACAACTTACACTAATGCTTTATGAGCAAGCACAGGTTACCAAAAGTTACCTTCATTTCTATCTTCTCCACAGCTGCTAGCTACCATTAGCAAGTACTTTCTTCCATTCAAAATACAGTCACAAATTAAATATTCACACTTTGTTAGGTGTACCTGTTTTGATGACCTCCCAAGATTCTCTGAGAGTCCTGAAAAATATCATTTTGCTTTACTTTATTTGATGTTTAGCAAAATTAAATGTGTTCTTCAGGGTGCATTTAAGTAAACATGGTCTGGTGCAGTAGGGTACTAGGTCAGTTAGCTTGTTTAGTGAACTTGTCAGGGATGTTGAAAAGATCACTGCACCGGTGCAAAACAAACTGCATGTTCAATACCTACATGGATCTGAAGAGAGATGATATAAGTGAAGGGATGACTTCTGCTGAGTCATTTCCGTCTTGAAAACAGCAAACCAAACATTAAACAAAATTAAAATATTTTTTATTATCTGTTAACATTAGTACCCATTTGGTTTTTTGCAAAATTAGGCTCAAGTGCTTTTATTCATTTAGCACTGTGGCATTAGGCAGTGGTTTATTAATTTCCTGTAATCAATTCTTCTTAACTGACATGTTGAGTAGTTAGTGGGCAAACCTTTTATAAGTCCATTGAGTACTTTCACATACTTACCCAATTTCATCTTTGCCTTTAGCACTTTCAGCAAGTTTCATCAAAGCTTTGCCATATTTCTCCTCAGCATCTGCCCTGCATAATTAATATTTGTTTTTTGCTGGTGTTATATCCTTCATATCTAGTCTTAAGGCCTTAGGGCCTTCTGCTTCATATCTATAGTCTTCAGGGACCTCAGGTAGGTGAGTTACCTCTCCTAGCTGTGGTCAAAAACAGCCAAGGCATGTTAGCCCATCTACAGTGTTTCATGTAAACATGTTCAAGATAAGTAAAAAACTGTATAAACAGGCAGGTTACCCCACTAGGAGGGTTATCACCATGTAAACAGGCCCTTTAGGTCATAGATTAAAGGTGCAGTTTCTCAAAAAAAATTGACTGCAACTTATTGTTGATATAATCAGTATCATGTCCATGAGATACTGGTCGGCAGATAGTGAGGCGCAATGCATGCACTTCTTCATGTAATCAGTTGGGTATCCGCCATTAAAACATATGAGCTGTTTATTCTCATTTCTGAGTGCTCTTCACTTCCTAATAGCAGCGCTTATCAACATGGTGGCAGCAGTGGGATTTAATTCAGTAAAGGTACTAAAGTTATTCTGGAGTAAGCATGAGAACAAGACAACCACATTTACACATGGAGATGGCTCAATTTCATTTACCGCCATAACTCGATCTGACTGATGGTAATCTGGCAGATGCTTTTAGGAAATGGAAACGTCAGTTGGAAGCCTACATGGAAGCTAGTGGAACTACCAACAAGCCCAAACAGCAACAAACAGCAATCATTTTAAAATGTGCTGGCCCGCAAGTCCTCAAAGTGTATGATCATTTCCAGTTTGATGAAGAAGATTATAAACACGATCCAGCGAAAGTCCTTGAAAAGCTGGAAGAGTACTGTAACCTGCGACAAAATGAAGTTCTTCAAAGTTTTTGCTTCTGGAACATTCCATTTCAGGAGCCTTTTGATGTGTTTCTAACCAAACTGCATTCCCGTGCTGCTTTGTGTAACTTTCAAGAAAAGGATCGAAGGATCAGGGACAAAATTGTTTCCAGTGTCTCCGGTAAGTTGCAAGAATTATTACTTCGTGAAACAAGCTTAGACTTAAAGAAAGCCATAGAATTCTGTCGAGCTTTTGAAATCACCTCAAGAAACACAAAGGAATGAATGCAAGTAGTGAAGCTCAGAAAATTGAAAAGGTACGTGTACAGAGCAGATCACTACAGAAATTTCTTATGAAACCTCAACAGGAGTATACCCCTCGTATCCTGAAAGAATGTCAATTTTGTGGCAAGTCACATGAAGCAGTCAAGACAAAATGTCCAGTCTGGGGCAAAACATGCAAGTACTGCAAAGGCAGAAATCATTTTGATGCGAAATCCAAGAAAGTTCATTCACTTAATGCTGAGAGTGACTTAACCGACTCTGATGAACAGTGGTTAGCTAATGTGGTGACTGATCAGAATAAAGGAGTAACTGCTTTGATGCACGTTAATAGCTGTGAAGTCTGATTTCAATTAGACTCTGGTGCTAATGTGAACACAATATGTCAGAAGTTTGTAAAGAAGTCACAAGTGAAACCCACTTCACAGAAATTGATTATGTGGAATAAATCAAAGTTAATCCCACTTGGAAAAACCATCCTAGAACTCTTGAATCCTAAGAATGCACAAGTGAGTGAGGTTGAATTTATTAGAAACAATGAATATATGAAGTTCATATATTTTGAACTGCGGTTGTAGATACGTATGATGCACGATCCTCGCAGTAGAGAGCGCTATTTATGCAATAGTGAAAATCAGACCTGAAAAAAATCAGGCCTGTATGGGATTCGAACCACTGACCTCTGCGATACTAGTGCAGCGCTCTACCAATTGAGCTAACAAGCCAACTGGGAGCAGGCCGTTAAGTTGATTCGTAATAACCCGTGATGATAAATCAGATACAATGAATATATGAGGTTCATATATTTTGAACTGCGGTTGAAGATACAACTTAACGGCCTGTTTACTGGGAATTGGTGGGGAGGGGGCATCTTCAAATAAGTTTCCTTCGATTGTTTGTAAACTGCTGATGCAGTCCGGCCAAAGTCCCCCGAAAAGTGTTGAGATGCGCTTTTGATCATGTCCACATGTTAATTTGTGCAATATAAATATTAAATAATAATAATTATTATTATTATTATATTATTATTATAAAGTTAGCAATGAAATTTTTCAGAGGAAGCTAAATGAGGCGCTCTGTGGCCTAAACGGTGTAATCTGTGTTGCAGATGACCTATTGGTGATGGGTAGTGGCAACACAAGAAAAGAAGCTGATGCTGATCATCAGCAGAACCTCCATGAGTTACAGAAAAGGTGCATGGAAAGAAACACAAGGCTAAACGATGAATAGTCTGTCATCAAGTTCTTGGGTCACCTAAAAACCATTGAAGGAGTACAGGCAGTCAAGTCCAAAGTGGATGCCATACTCAACATGCCAGCTCCCACTGATGTACAAGGTGTGAAGAGATTCAGTGGAATGATCCAGTACTTGTCAAAGTTCCTCCCTCACTTAGCAAGTGATCTGCAACCCATAAGAGAGCTGACTAGAAAGTATGCTGAGAGGAATAGGTCTAGTGAATGTGAAGAAGCATTTCAGAGTCAAACAGAACATTACAGACACCCCTGTGCTTGCCTACTTTGACCCTGACAAGGAACTTGTCCTTCAAGTAGACAGTAGCAAAGACGGATTGGGTGCTGCCCTCCTACAAGATGGGAAGCCAATTGAGTATGCTTCGCGAGCACTTACAAGTGCTGAAAGAAATTGGGCGCAAATAGAGAAGGAGTCATTGGCAGTAGTATTTGGTTTAGAACGCTTTGACCAGTACACATATGGTAGAAAAGTTATTGTTCAAAATGATCACAAGCCATTAACCTCAATCCTGAAGAAGCCCCTCAGTCAAGCTCCAAAGCGATTACAAGCGCTGATATTGCAACTGCATTGATATGATGTTGATTTTCACTACATAGAGGGAAACAAACTTTTTTATTGTGGACATTCTCAGCAGAGCTTATCTAGATGTTCCTGATACCCATGTCAGAGTTATGAGAGTCAACGCTCTCAAAGGAGAATCAGATGAGAGAATCAAGGAAGTGAAAGAGGCTACTGCAGAAGACGAAAATATGCAGACCTTGCTTGGCATCATAAAGGATGGATGGCCTGAACACAAGAATGACGTGCCCAGCGAAGGCCATACTTTAACATAAGAGACACTCTTAGCCATCAAGATGGAATTATTCTGAAAGGCAAAAGAATAGTAATCCCAAAGTCTCTGAGAGACATCACGAAGAAAACGCTACATGCTGCACACCTTGGTTATGACAGAATGATGAGATGAGCCCGTGATACCGTATTTTGGCCTGCAATGTCAATGGAGATACATCAATTAGCTGAGAACTGTGAAGCCTGTCAGATACATAAACCAAGGAACCAGAAAGAGACACTGAAACAGCATAGAGCAAAATTGGTGGCGATTTGTTCGAGATCAAGGAAAGAAATTATCTAGTCACTGTCGCCTATTACTCGAACTTTATAGAAGTTGACTACCTGCCAACCACCACGACTAAACAAGTCATTACCAAGCTAAAGGAACATTTTGCAAGATATGGAATACCAAGACAGATGGTGACTGACTCTGGCTCACAATTCCTCTCAAGAGAATTCAAGAATTTCACAAGAAACTGGGGCATTGGCATGTAACATCATCACCACATCACCACAAATCTAATGGAAAAGCGGAAGCAGCGGTAAAGATTACCAAAACGATGATGCGTAAAACGCTCTTGGATGGGACGGACCAATATAAAGCCCTACTTGAATTGAGGACCACACCTCACCAAGGTACTGAAGCCAGCCCTGCTGAAATGATGTTTGGTAGAAACACACGATCAATGCTACCATCCTCAAGAACTAAGAGAATCAGAAGTAAGAGAGAAGTAATGCTGAGAAGAGCCAAGCACCGCTTTGCCGTCAAGCGTAGCTACAACAAAGATGCTCCAGACCTGACGCGACTCGCTTCTGGCCAACCAGTGTACTACCAACACACAGAAGGAAAGAAGTGCGACTAGAGAAAAGGTACAGTGCGCCCTGAGCACAGCGACCGATCCTACATAATAGATGGAAATGGAGGTGTATACAGGAGAAACAGATTGCATTTACATCCCACGACATTGAACGCTCCATCAGAAAACACCCCAACAACTGCTGTGGAAAACAATATGCACAGTCTACCAACAAACACTGACAAGAGGACCAAGTCCCAAGATACCACTAAGGCAGACACTGCTCAAGCAAACTTGCAGACAAGACTGCAGCGGATCAGGAAAGAACCATACTGGTTCAAAGACTACGAGATCAAATATTAGTTTGTTGCTTATGTATATATTCTTTTTCCTTTGTCGGAGTTGTGACATTTGCTAGAACTCATTCACTGTGAGGAACTCGTCATTTTGGACCTTTTATCGTTGCTTTAATTTCTTTTTTCGTTGAAATTTCCTTTGAGAAAGAAGGATGTTGATATAATCAGTATCATGTCTGTGAGATACTGGTCAGCAGATAGTGAGGCGCAACGCATGCGCTTGTTCATGTAATCAGTTGGGTATCCGCCATTAAAAAAAATGAGCTGTTTATTCTCATTTCTGAGTGCTCTTCACTGCCTAATAGCAGTGCTTACCAACACTTGTGTCAAAAACTTACAACTTCCATGGGCAAATTGTCTTATCAAAATAAAAAAAAGTTATGAAAAATTAACCAGTTACACTGTACATACTTGTTGTTCATATTTCTTTGTCCTTTGGAGTTTCATATATAAATATATACTCTATATAAATGGTCTAATAAATGACTGGTACACAATGTTGGCACTGTAAATTGTCAGATTGGCTAGTTTCTACATGCTTTGTACCATACCTTTGTCTAATAAAATCTTCAAAATCCTGGCACATTTGTTTTCCATCCTTTAAGCGTTTGCATAAAGCATCAAAACCAGCCGTGCTGTTAAAATCAGTCCCCTGTTAGAATCAAAGATGAACATATCACATGTAAAACAATAGGGAAGAAATAAATAATTGCAAACATCAGCCTGATGCTGTGTAACTTTGAATTTTTAATAAAAAGTATCTCCTTTCGAAGAGGAGCTCCCTAATCCCCAAATACAAATCAAACCCTTTATAAAAGACCAAAATATTGCTTTTGGCAACAGTGAATGGTTAGCACTTGAACAGAGTGCTGGACTGCCTTGCGGAGGTTGAGGGTTCAAGCCCCTGACCAGACCAACATTCAGGGTCTCAAAATAACTGAGGAAGTGTGCTGCCTTTGCTATGACATCCACAAATGGTTAAACAATCTAGTCAGATAAGGACAATAAATCGTAGGAACCCATCTCCTGAATTTTCTCTGGTTAGAATGGGGGACATTAAAGGACCCAACCACTTTTTGCAAAGTTTGGGGAACAATTAGCTCACAGAGTTGTTATTGTTTATCAAGGTGCCCATTCAAAGCTGCTTTACACTGAACAGGGCCACCTTGTATAGATATCACAAAATAATAAAACAGAACATAGTCATCTTTTCATTTGTGTTTGATGGTTATCATGGTGGCTATATATACACTAGACAATTTTGATTCAGTTCTTATAATTCTTCTCAAGCTCAACAACCCAGAATTAATGCTTAAAATTACCAGAGATATTTTCAAATACATTCTTTAAGGTGACTGTGTGGATGTTTTTACTACCTCATTTCAAGATATCATGTTGATTCAACAAGTGCCATTTTAAGTCTACATTTCTTAACACTAACTCCCTGCAAGATCTGCCTGTTAATTCTCCTCTCTAGCCACAACACATTTCCATGTAAATTAGTTATGAGAATTTGGTGTTAGAACAGGATAATAACTTCTGCCTGATAAGTTTGAGTATTCTCATTACATGTTTGCTAGATAATGTATGGAAATTGTAGGGAGAAGTTTCATGTTAATCACTCCTGGGAGTTTAAAAGGTGAACTGTGTGGAGGGGCTTTTACTCTAGAGCAGAAGTTATTTTACAAACATTCAATTGTACAGTTGTTGTGCAACAGATTATTTTGAAAAAAATTCAGCCTCTTCATTGATTAAAATGAGTAGCACTGGTAAAATAATTTTCAAGACAAATGATCGCATGATACCCACACTGTGATGCACAATGACCAAAATTATTTTTGTCCCTCTATGCAAATTTATTGAAGAAACATAAACTCGCACAGCAGTAATCTCAGGTCTGCACCGTTTTTACATGTAAACACCCCTCAAAATAAATCTTTTGACACGAAAACAGCGAAGACCCCCATTCCCCTTCCAAAAAACTTGATTGTCCAGCTCCCAGAAAGTGGCTCTGGGCCTCGTACAGGAACAGGTGGTTGTTGGCATATGGTGGTCTTCAGGTTCAATTGTATGTATCACAATAAATAATATCAATATGAGAATAATTAGAATAAAATAGTAACAAAACTGGAAATTATTGAAATTTCAATTCATTCTTCGACTCTCAGAGTCGATCCTAAACAATAGCTATTCTGTGAACTAATGTGAATTTATCGCCCGCGTATCGCCCTGATTAACGAATTTCTCTAATCGACACATATACAAATAACAGACAGTTTATATCAACAGCGATCGCCTTCATCTGGGTGTATTGTAAACACCACTCTAACAGAGTAACAAACAAAAAAAACAGAAAACTGCAATTAAGCATAAGTACAAGAATGCGAGGTTATCTCGAAAGCAAAACACTTGTATTAGCTCTTCTTCTAAATCAAAAATGAAAAGGTTTTGAGCTCAAATTTGATCGCTGCTTTTTCGATCCACTAAATGTGTACAATAAGAGGAGATCAGAGAAATCGTAAGGTTTGATACAAAAGACATAAGTAGCCGTATCTTTAAACAAGTTCATGTCGAAAGAGTTGACCTATCACAGAATTAATGTACTGAAACAGTTGTTACAGTAGTTTCCGCGTAAGTGAGAGCGTTCATATAGGCTCGAAATATAACTTACCCAGAAGCAGTCTGCAAATTTAGTCATATCAGAAGGAAATTAAAGCGCCTGACTCAAATTTCCACCCAGGAAATGCCCAGTTTCGCGGCCAGAGTACGTCAAACTGCGATGGGAAGTCAACAACCTACAGTGCAAGGGAAAGCTAAGACATTGGGTAAAAGTCCCGGATACGGAAACGAGAAAGAGAAAAGATGACTGCGACTTCCGGTCTTTCATCAGAATCCTTCAAAACGCGTTTTCCTTGTTTACGACCACATACAAGTCAATTGCAAGCGTATGACCAAGCGCTTGATTACAACCTCAAAGACTTCAATCAATTTTTCCTTCCTTGCTGGCTTTATTAATGCTGAAGAGTCAACGAGACAGATTCAAGCCATCACGCAAAAGATAATTTATTGGCAGATACAGAGTAGCGTGACATCCTTTCTGGCAGCCAGCTTTAGGAACAACTTCTTTACTTATGTTTGTTTGCTTCCCTTTTCGTCGACTGAAAGCGAAGCGACAGTGGGAAACGAACTGTTCTCACGGTGCATACGCATTCGGATCAGACAGATAAAGAGACAAATATTAGATTAAACACAAATAAGTAGAAAGTGAATTAAAAAACAGTTTCAGTTTTGGACCGTAGGAACGGCTTCATGGGGTGATGGCTTTTGCGGCTAACGGTTAAAGTTTTGGCCATCTTATGGCCAACCGTCAACTTCCTTTCTTTGTGATTATAACAACAATTTTAAGGGTCAACACTTTTTTTTACGACCAACGACTAAAATTTGACAATTAATACTGCTAACGGCTGATTTTTTTTGGTCTTTTTATGGCTAATGCTTAATTCCCTTGAGACCCTCTTTAGCCCTCCTTTTATTTATTTATTTTTTTACTTTTCACCACATCATATGGAGGTTTGCCCCTCAAACCACTCTCTCCCTTCCTTTTTAAAACTACAACTTGACAGGATGAGTATCTGAGACTGGTAGATTAGGAAAATCTTCAATTTTGTGTTGTCGGGGGTTGAAGTAAAGGCTTTACCAAGAGCTATGAAATATTCTTTCTTAAGAAGTAATAGGAAAATAAATGAATATATTTCATAGTTTTTCATACTGCTATTACTAAGAAAAGGTGCTCAGTGTCACACTTCATTCCTCATTGAAGGAGTAACAATACCGGATTGTCAGCTTATCTACAACACGTTCCAGCTCACCATATTAGGTTTCAGTTTTATTTTAACCTAGACAAGCACGGTGACAGCAACTTCACCAATCAAAAGAAACAGTCCCTTTTCCTGGCAAGATGCACGTCGCAACTGTATTGATTTTCTTGTCTTTGTGTTCAAGTTTGGCACTACCAGGTAATGCTTAAACTCATTTAATTTTAGATCGTAAACTATTTCGCGACGCACAGATCTCTCTCCGACGTGTCAAGCAACACAAGGTGACCCAGGTGTCTCAACAAATTATACAGAATTTCGCAGAACCATTTTGCATCAAATTTGTAATTCATATCTTTGATTTTTGCAGTGCCGGTGGATAGAAGTGTCCAAGCAAGAGACGAGCGAGAGGTGAGAAATACCGTTGTGGATTTTACCATGAGTTGATGGTATGCTGTCTTGCTACCAAATATGTTTCACTTGGGAGATTCTACTATTTCAGTTCTGCCTCGAAGAGATAACACTTCAGAATTAAATGTTCACGAAATATAGGAAGCATTTTGAATTATTCATACTCTTTATCATTGTTATGATTGTTTACCTTTGGGAAATGAATCATATCGATACTTCTTTCCTCATGTTAACGAGAAAATGATATTTTACCTTAAATCCCTTGAGTACATTTGGGAGGACTTTCGATGAAGGTGTGAATTACGAAATTCTTCAAGTAAAGTTTACTACATTTAGCTGACATTTACTTACATTTTCAACTCAGTCAGTACAAAATCTTTTCTTATTTGTGTCCTGAACTTGCTAAAAGAAAAGAGCAAACTTTGCAAATATTTCCTGGGGATTCTTTCTAGATATTTTAAAGGAGAAACAATCTGTGATCCGTGTCAACGTGTTTGCACAAGCTTAAAATAACATTTAGCGACCACTACGGAACGCGCAGAGTTTAATAGGGACGGTCAAATTATTTTGTTGCACGAAGGCTTTTGGGAAGAGCTTTAAACTATCCTGTTTCCAAGAGTGATCAATAAATATTTTCTCATTTCATTATCAATATATTGTCGATTAGAAAAGTGAGGATAATATTAAACATCGATTAGGACATTTTGCTTGATATAACACTAAATTATCGTAGCTAAAACAATCAATTCGCGTAGCTAAAACTGTAAGAAAGATATGGCTGGAAATGTGGAGAATCGATGATGAGTTCTTAAGAGAAAAATAGTCAATTCGTTTTCATTTTATATCTTCATGCAATAGGACTCGATCTCGTATTTATTGTTCCTGTCAAGCTGAAACGAGGCCGTTTCCGTGAACTATTGTGACTAAAACGGGGTCAATAGCTCATGTGACGCCATTCAACGCACAGACTTTCAATATCGATTTCAAACTGGAAAGAATCTAATGCATTCTTCTTCCTCAACTACCAGCGGAAGGGGGGAGGGGGGAGGGGACGAAGTTGTTTGACTTCAGATGCCTGAAAGTGGCAAAAAGAAAAAGGAACTAATTTCGTGCAAGTTTGTAAGATTTAAAATTTGAGATGAAATAGCCATTGACCTCCAATTGGTGTCTTTCAGACACAATGGAGATTAAGGTCTTAAGACTTTGTAACAGGAGAAAACATTTTGTATGCATACCTGATTTACAGCCAGCGGGTCAGAGTCTCGTGATTTTGCGGGACTTAAAGCTACTTTATTAGCGTTTTGGTTGAGTTACTAAAGCAATTTATAATTCCGATTTTTGTTGCAGATTTCCATCGATGAGCTGGAATCACAGGTAATGCTCTAACTAGTTTTTGATGTTACTAGCATGCGTGACGGACTAAGCTATTCGTGATCACCTATTGTATCGTGTCAAAATGAAGTATTTTTCACTTGATTTGTAGCTGGAGGAAATTGAAAATCATATCAATGCAGTGCGGACAAAAGTGAAGGAGGAAGCTCAAAATGAAAAGGTCGATGCTATCAAAGGTGGGTGCATCTCTCGATACATTTAGCGATTGAGTAAGAGGGTGGGGAGGG